ACATAAAATATGTAGAATATTGTTATGTATATAGCATTTAGTATTAGTGACTATTACTAGGGCTTTTGATTTTTGGAGCTTTACTTTAACATTCTTTTTCCTAGAAGAGTTCTCCTTAAAAGTTTAAAATGTATATTGAGTATTTTTTAAATGGTTTGGTACTAGAGCTAGTAAGACACCCCTCACCCTTAACTGAAAAATCAAATAAAAATGAATGTTCCAAAATTCCTAAATTCTCTCCTTTGCCTTACTTAAAAATAAAGCAAGCATTCAACACCACTGTCTTTATCGAAAAGTCAATTCTCTGCCAAGATATTTACATTATAGAACAGCAGGCATACTTGCTGTGGAAAATATAATTCCTTCTGACTGTTTAATGATGTGGGAGTTGGGGGAAGGAGAAAAACTGGGGGGGCTGTTATTAAAGTAATGCAGTAAAATCTTCAAAAGCAGGGAGCTGTGTCATGTGCAAAACTATCAAAGAAGGAAAATTCTGATATTTTCACTAATAGAAAGATAAGAAAACGGTAGACAGCACCCTGTCAAAGGTAGAAAAGTTGTGAGATTCAGAAAAACAACCAGTCCAAGATAATTACTATTAATCTTAAAATACTGTATTACTTCCATCTGTTGCTAGTTAATGAGGTATTATTTTAAATCTGGAGGGGCTATATAATTTTAGGAAATATCGGGGGTTTTTTTGCATTTTTCAAGACACTGGTGCATAAGCTGGTCCTCTGTGTTATCTCTGCAGTTGCAGGATTTTCTTTGTTGCATCTTGCCTTTGTATGGCCTCAATGACATTATTCAAATGAATGAATCAATGATTGTTTGTGGTGAGGTATCAAAATGAATGACTTTGCCACTTTGACTCAGATATGACTCATAGTGACTCCCCATTGGGTTTCTGCGACTACACATCTTTCTGCTGCAGAGTGGCTGACTGATTCAAACTGCTACCCTTTAGTGTAGCTGCTCAATTCTTTATGCACTATGTGAACAGGTCTTCTTAGAATAGACAAAGCAACATCTCCCATGTGTCAGCAACTGTACTGATGGTTTTTCTTTTCCCGTGTTAAACAGTAATCAGTTGTTACTTGCCTGTGATGATAAAGGACACAAAGCTCACTTCTATAGACTTTGGTCCAATGGTCTGCTTTGTGCAAAACAGCAGGATGAAAATTTACTCTGTACCCCAGCAACATTCAACAAGATACACTGTCTCTTTTACTAATCCACAGTCAAGTACACACAATTTACTAAGTCTTTCCTACCTCAATTTAACTAATGCTATAATCAAGTGACTTAGAATATATTTTAGGGACTCATTTTAGCTCCAAGTTCCATGACACTCTATTTTTCCTTTTTTGACTTTGAGTCCTGTTGAGAGATTTAATTTTTTTTAAAAGATACTTTTTTCCATGTTTCCCTTTATTAATCACATAATTGATTCAGATTGCATTGACAGATGCAAAGGAGAGAAGATGGTAGATTGTCTCCAAAGTTGACCTGAGCCACCCTTCTGTGCAGCTGGAAGCAAGTGTTTGGCACACTCTCCTGTCCTTTTCAGACCTTTCTCTCATTTTTTGGAACAGCTATCTTTGACCATGTGCTCTTCCAGAAAAGCTTTGCTCTCACTCTCGCAAGTTTCCTTAAAAGGTTTTACTAATAATTGTTTAAACAATCAGAATTCCTAGTTATGTTCTATTTTGAATAGAAGACTGAACTGAAAAGGTAACTCGGGATCTGAAAGACTGAATTAATTGCTAATGCAAGGAAACTCTTGACACTATGATAAAAACTGATGTTTGATTACAACTGGATAATGCCATTATGTATACCCTGGTGGAGCAGTTCATAAGAGGTTACACTGCTGACCCAAAGGTGATGCCTCTTGCGAATTCACCAACCATTCCACAAGAGAAAGGTGGGCAGTCTCCTATGTGATTTTCAGCCTCTGAAAGGAAATCTGTGGTGGGTCAGCTATGAGTTGGTTCTGACCTGGTGGCAATGAGTGAGAGGAGTTTAATGTTTATACTCTATTTATACACATCCTGAATGGGCAATTGCTTCCCTAAACATGAACTCACTGCCAGGGCAAACCATAGAGCAAGAAAGACTCTAACTAATCTAAAATAATTTTTCTAAAACTATTTTTCCACACAGTGAAACTCAAGCTTCTCCAGGTCCCCTTAGCTTATCATAACAAGTGGGTTTTCCCCACTTGTTACAAGAAAATGCACAGGGTGAAATGCCAAGGGCAAATGCAGAAGGAATCTCCAGCTTACCATCACTATATGCATGTCTGCCATGGCACCAAGTTATTCTGAATCTTGCTAACACTTAAGCATCGGGTCTTCTGCCAAACATCTCCTCCCCTAATGATTACAATGGCTCCTGTACAAGATACTTCCGCTGCTCCACCTTTTCTTTCTCGACTTGGTTAGATTTTCTGAAACCATGTTGCTTGTGGCCCAGTATCTCACAGAGATCTAGGGAAACTTCTCTTTCTGTTTTGCCTACAGAATCTTTCTCTATCCTCCTTCTTTTCCCACAGGACTCAGAGGGGACGAACAAGGAGACAAAATTAGTGGTAGGCACTTGATAGAGATCAGAACTAGTCAAGTCCATCAATGACCAAAGTCTTACGTGTAAGTCATTCTCATCACACTTGTTTTTCTTTTGTCTTCAGGTCACATTACTTGTACCCTGTGTGTCTCTACCTAGCTTCATCAACCTGCTTGAATTTGAATTTAGGCTCAAGCTGGGACCCATATTATAATACAGAATGCTGAAGCAGCAGAAGAGATTGCTAAATTTCCAGAAACACAGAGATAAAGTAGCACTGGGATATAAGTTCTACAAGGGCAGAGACTTTTCTTTTTTTCCTGTGTGGCTTTTTGCTAAGACACCAGCACTCAATAAACTCAAACTCACTGACATTCAGTTGATTCAACTCATATCAGATTTCCAAGGCTGCAAATCCCAACACAGGACATTGTCTATCTTTCCCCAGTGGAACTACTGGTGAATTTAAGCCACTGGGGGAATAAGACCTGTGAGTTAGCAGTCATTGTGGACTATGTTACCAGAGCTTCTAAATGAATGCATTTTAAAATTAATTTTAAAATGAAAGCAGTTTAGTCTCATGTAACAATTTTCAGGGATAAAAGGCTGTTATCTTGACCCCATGTGACAAAGGCAGTATAGATGTAATACACGGAGTGAAGGAACATGCTCAGCAGGTCTGTTATACAGTTGGCTTTTCAGCCTTCTCCAAAATAAGCCTTGGACGTGCTCCTTGCTGGAGGCTTTGCTCATCTCAGGCAGGCGAGCTCCTCTCTGGCCCATGCTGAGCCCACTGCTGCCGCCTGCTGAAGCTTATGCAAGCTCACTCAAAGCAGTGATTCATACGCCTTTTGCATTGCAGACCTTTTGAGAATTCAGTTAAGTCCAGCTCTATCCTAGGAATTTTTTTTTAAAAATAGATTCACAAGCACACAATACTATATAGTATTTCAAAAGGATTAAGAGGTCCCTCAGGCCCCATCATGAAACACTAAAATCTTTAAAATAGTTGCTGTTTTTATCTTTTCTTTTTTAATTAAAGAAATATTGGAAGATGAACAAAAGCAGAGAATACTATCAACAGTCAGGAACTTGTCTTTTTTATATTACCCAACATGAGGAGTTGCATTGCCGACCCAAAGACACATGGATTAGCTTGAATCCACTAGCTAATCCAAGGGAGAAATGAGCAATCTACCCCTTGCAGTTTACATCCACTGAAAACATGCAGCTTTAAGTGAGTTAACTCTGATTCAATAACATGCATAAATAGCCCCTAGATAGAAATATATATATCTTTATCTTTATATTGAGATATATGTTATGGATAGACTGTTTTAAGAAAATCTGAGATATTTTAAAATCTTATTAGTAAATACTATGATATATATCCAAATGGTTGAGTACTTAAAAAAAACCCCAAACAGCAAAGCTCATCCACCACTTTCACATCTAGCAAAAGTAACGAAAATTCTTTAACCTTATCTAATCCTCAATTCCCGATTATCTAAAAAATAAATTTTTTGATCATGATTTATTTTAAACTAGATCCAAACAAGGACCAAGAATTGAAGGATGGTTATTGTCATTGTTAGGTGTCATTAAGTCAAGTACAATGACCCATAGTGACCCTATCTTATCCTGTACCATCCTCATCATCTCTGATACACTTGAGCCCATTGCTGTGTCACTATTTCAACCCCCATCTCCTTGGAAGTCTTTCTTTCACTGAGATGAAGGTTGTTCAATTTATGAAGGTGTGAATTCGTTTTTACTGTGTGAGTGAAAGCCACATTTGCTGGTTCTTTTTTTGCAGATCGAGGTGGGAGGAAGGTATGTGTGAAGTTAATGAAACTCAACAACTCAACTCATTGTCATTGAGTTGGTTCTGACTCATAGCTGATCCTCCACTGGGTATCCAAGGCCATAAAACTGAGTAGATGAGTTCTCTTTCGCCGTAGGAATGACTGGTAGATTCAAGTCTTTGGTTTAGCAGTACAACGCTCTCTGGGCCATATGACCAGAACTCTTCAAATGATTGAAAAGAACTATAAAATTTAAAAATTAAAAACTTTGGAAACATCTTACGTGATCATTTGATATCACAAAAAATACAATTAGATAAGAACTAGTTTTCTATTAGCCTTAATAGCCAGGTCAATCTAAGCATTCAGGATAGGCTACCCATTTCTAATCTAAATCTGATTGTGGATAAATTGTGTGGAACCTATTGAGCATTTATATTTTCTGTCACACTCTTATTTTTTCTTTATTGTAACTTTTTTTTCTTTGCTTGGTTAAGATTTTTAAAAAAATACTAGACAAGTTAAACAGAAAATCAGAAGTCCTCAAATTTACCTCTGCCTGCTCTCAGGGACCGTGCCAAGCATCAATCATATTTGCTATTTCAATCCCCAAATATAATGTGTTACCTGCTGCCTTCGTTGTGTATCCAGCATTGATGACCATCATCAGCTTTCTTTTCCACCAAAACTACATCCGTCCCTGAATGGAGGTTGTGACTTTGTACCCCCAAAACAAGCTGAGGTGCAACGTGGCTTATAATCCTTCCATCTCTGTATTCAAACTGCTGACGGCAAAGCTTCTGCAACTGGTCACACCTTGGTGAAAGGCTGAAATAAAGGAAACTTCATTAATGGGGAAAAAAAAGTCTTATGCCATTGATGAAGTGTAACATGTAAATTTTGTTGGTAAAAGACCTGTTGTGAAATGTATCACATGCTATAGTATGGCACCATCATTATAACAGCAGCAGTACCATTACCATCCTTCTAAACTGTTGTGAAAAGATGGAAATCACAGTTTAACCGGTATCTGAAATGACTATTTATTCCAGGAGGTCATATGAGAAATGTATCAGCAGAGAGAAAAGAAATTCAGTTAAAGAAGTAATGTAGTCAAAGAGGAAAAGAAAAATGTTAAAAGTAAGTAGGAAAATGAGAGGGAGTTTTATAGGTTGAAATGTGTGTACTCCTCTCCCCCCAAAAAAAGATAATCCAGAAGGTTTACTCATTGAAAAGGTGAATGTGATCTGATTTGGGGAAATGGAGTTTTTCTTTGTAGGTGCTATTAATTAAATGAAGTTACTCTGAGTTACGGTGGGACCTGCACATTAGGACCTTTAAGAAAAGCTTCTCTAACCATTGTCTTGGACCTGACCATGCAGCTAGGTGGAAATGTGTAAGTAAAATGAATCTTTGAGGTTCCAGTCACTACTCTTAGTTTCTCTGGGGGTATGTTATTGAGCTGCTCCAACTGTGGACCACTGTTTCGACCAGCAACATCTGTGAGACCAAATAAGAGAAGACGCTAACTAGGCTGGCATGAGACTGTGTCAAGACATTGTCTGATGGAGCCAGAACCAGAGGTTTTACTTGCTGAATGACTCAAGGAAGAGCTGGCTTGGAACTGTGATGACATGAATTTTGCTGGATGATTGAGGAAACCAGAGGTTTTTTTTGTATTTGACTGAAGCTGGACTTGCACTGTATGATATCATTGGCCTGGCCTCCCCTCCCCCAAAAATGTTTCCCTAATAAACTTCACAACTGACTTAAAAGTAGGTTTGTAAAGTCTAGGTTATTTGTAACAACTTTCTTGGATCTAGTAATTAGTAGAAATAAGTGCTGCAGAGTGGGAGCCCTCTCTGACCTGATCAGTTTTATACTGTTCATGTTCTTGATGGTTACAGTTCCCATTTGTGGAGCTGGTAGAAGTCAGACTCTCTGATCCCCATACTGCTCCTGCCCCTCTTACAGGTCCTAATCCTAATCTGTTTTGAGTGGATTAAGATTATATAAGAGTTTATATTGGTTTTATATAAAAGAAAGGAAGGTATAAATAAACTTGATGAATGGGACCTTCTAAAGATTAAATCCCTGTACATATAAAAAACTTTTCCAACAGGATAAAAAGAAAACCTACTGATTGGGAACACACATTTGACAATACCAGCTCAGACAAGGGTTTCATAACAAAAATTTACAGAATATTCATGAGCCTCCACAAGAAAAAGACTGATAACCCAATTAAAAAATGGGCAAAAAAGATGGAAATATTTTTCACAGAGGAAGATATTCAAATGGCCAACAGAAACATAAAGAAATGCTCCAAATCACTGGCACTAAGAGATGCAAATCAAAACCACAATGAGATGCCATCTCACTCCAGTAGCAGTGGCAAAGTTTAACAGGACAGCAAGTAATAAGTGTTGGAGAGGATGTGGCAAAATAGGAACTCTTATACATTGTTGGTGGGATTGCACAATGGTACAACCATTCTGGAACTCAGTTTAGTGCTTCCTAAAAAAGCTGAACATAGAAATTCCATATGACCCAGCTATTCCACTGCTTGGAATATACCCCATGAGAGAATGAAAAATGAGGCACAGAGACTTGTACACCAATGCTCATAGCAGCATTATTCACCATTGCAAGAACATGGAAACTGCGCAAATGTCTAACCACAACTGAATGGACTGAGAAATTATGGTACATTCACACAATGGAATGCTACATAGCACACAAGAGCAGTGAATTTGTAAATTATTACCTAACTTGGGAGGGTCTGGAGAGCATTATGCTGAGTGAACCGACTCATTTCCATAAGGACAAATACTGTATAGGACCGTTATTGTAAACCCTGTATGAGGAAACAGGTAAGGATGGGGGGTGGAGGAGAAACCATAAGGTCACCCAGTCTGATGGATGGGCAGGCAGGCGAAGGAAATGGGAAAGATCCAGTATGAAAAACAATGTATTTGAGCTTTGTAAATAAACAACATAAAATTTTTAAAAATGTGTTAAAAATAGAAAGAAAGGAAGGTACAAGAACGGAGTTGCATGTGCAGGGAAGGACAGTACGTGAGGGTCCTTCTACAGGACAAGAGGTGCCAAGGATTAGCAGTAGCTACTAGAAACTAGGAGAGGGAAATAGAACAGTTCCTCTCTCCAAGTTATCACAAGGAATCAACATAGCAGAAACTCGGAATTTGTATTAACTCTCCAGCATTATAATATATTTTTTATTCTTTAAAACCACCAATTCTATGGACTTTTTAATGACAGTCCTAAACTGTAAATTTATAATTTACATAAAATATATACTAAGACTAGGGATATAGAAAATCAAACAAGAGAAACAAATGAGTTTTGTTCAGATTATGATTGCTGTTATCATCTATATTGTTGGCAAATAGAAGACTATTCTCTAAAGTTCTCAATCTTCCCAACCAGGTGGCAAATGGGTAGCCTAATGGTAAGGAACTGTGCTGCAATCACGAAGGCATTCAGTTCAAATGCACCAGCTGTTCTGTGGGAGACAGATGGCAATCTCCTCTCGTGTGATTAAACTCCCTCTGAAAATCCACTGCAGGGTGAGCTATGGGTAAGTTCTAACTTGATAGTACAAAACAAGAGGTAGTTCTGGTGGCTTAGTGGTAAGAAGCTGTGTTGCAATCCTAAAGGCATATGGTTCATATTCACCAGCTGCTGCATGGAAGAAGGATGGGCAATCTTCTCTCATGTGATTTGTTGCTTCTGTAAACTCACTGTGGGGTCAGCTATTGGTTGGTTCTTTCTTGATGCCACACAACAACAACATCAATGAACTAATATAAACTTTTATAGTCTTATACTTAAAGATCTTAAAATATTTAGCAACTTATTAAGCTAATTAAGTATGGTATTATTTAGGCTACAAAAACCTATTAAGTGCTTTCAGTATATGTGGACTACCACTCAATGTTCAAGTACCAGGAGCACTTAATTCACAGCTTACAGTAAGTACTATTATATTAAGGAAATAGTTAAATACTATTCAAACTGTGTCTCTTTGGGATTGCAGTGTAGCACCTTACCACTGGGCCACCAATGCTCCTTTGAAGAAATGTCCTTGTTCTTAGTCATAGTCAAGTTGGTTATGACTCATAGCGACCCTGTGAACAATACCTCTGAACCCTGCACTATCTTGAATGGAATAAGAGAAAGTACTATACAACTCCTGTTATTATTTCTTCTGACACTGATCAGAAAAAAATATTTTAAAATATATTTTATTAATTTCATAAACAATTGAGCATTATGCTTGCTTACTCATACATTAGTAGTTTGCTCAAGTACATTAAAACACTATAGAACCAAGAAAAAAAATAAAAACCTATTAATTGTTGTTGGAATCAAGCCATAATTGACTCTTTTTTGGAGGATATTTGCCCATCCTTTCTCCCAAGGAGCTGCTGTTGGACTTAAAGTATCAGAAAGGTGTCACCACTGGGTTATCAGTGCTAATTCCTACCCACTAGGTCATGAGCTCGCTCTGGTATAAATTCTCAAAAGCCAAAGACAGACAAGATCATTGTCTAATGTAAGAGACAAACAAGTGAATAAGAAATTACATGCGAACAAAAACAAAACAAAACTGAGAAGGGCTTTCCTTCTCTTCATAAATACTTGCAAACACTTTAATCAAAGCCACAATAAAGACAAAATATATATTGTGCAATAGAAGCTACTTGGCTGTACTAACCCTCAGGAAGATCTCTGTGCCCAAGCAGGCAAACCTAAGAGGTAGGTCAATAGCTCTAACAGGAATTCCTTGCAGCCTTTTACCTGGATTTCTTCTGTAGCTCCACTTTTTCAAAGAGCTCTCCTTCCGTTGTCTTTGGAAGACTGTCGTTCTCATTGAAGTCAGAAGCCTTTTTCTGCCAGGCATACTTGAGAAGAGTGTGACAAGCCTTCATTCGGAGGTGGGCCCTTGCATGTGCATCTCTAGCAAGGTGCAGAAGCAAACAAAAGTTTAAAAATTCTGGTTTTCTCACAAAATTTCACAGAAGTAAAGTCTGATTACATCCTGCAGGATATTGGTAGATCTTCAAGTCATAGAGGTGCCTAACATTAATTCTCCACACCCTTTCCACATTTGTCGTGGCCTTCAGTATCAACTTCTAGCCAACCCTCCATTGAGTTTCTGGTATAAATTACACTGAAGCACATTGCTTATCTTCCTAATGTAGAGTCCTGGTGGATTCTAACTGCCAGGAGATGCCATCTTTGGGGTCAGAGGCTCTGTTCAATTCCCTACAGACTACACCACTAAACCTTCATAGCCACATCCTACCAACATATAATTAGATAGTTTTCTATCAGGCTACAGTCCAAGAGAGGAAGACCCTCGATGAGATAGATTGATTTAGTGTCTGAGGTAATGGGAGTAGGTGTGTCTGAGACAGTAAGATTGGCACAGGATAGAGCAAGATTTAGGGTTGTTGTACATAGGGTTGCTATGAGTCTCAAGTGACTCGACAGCACATAAGAACATGTCAGGCTACTGAAAATTGTATTAGAGCACTGAGGAGCCAAAACTAAAGGAGAAATATAAAAGGAATGAACAGGAGATTTCAAAGGATAGCTTGAGAAGACAAAGCAACATACTATAACAAAATGAGCAAAGAGCTGGAGTTAGAGAATAAAAAGGGAAAAACTCACTTGGCATTTCTAAAGTTGAAAAAATTGAAAAACAAATTCAAGCCTTGAGTTGCAATACTAAGAAATACGATGGAATGATCTTGAACAATCCAGGAAGCATCAAAAGTAGATGGAAAGAATACACAGAATCACTTACTATACCAAAAACAACTAGTTGACAATGAAGAATTTCAGGCTGTAGTCCTCAATATGGATTGAAGCTCAACCATCAAGAAGATAAAGATTCTCACCACTGGGTCAATTGGTCCCATTGTAACAGATGGAGAAGAGATTTAGGTTGTTAGCAATAAGAGTTTTCTCGTATCCATAATCAAAACTTTTAACACCAGCAGTCAGGAAATCAGAAGACAAATGGCACTGGGAAAAGCTGATGTCATGGCCCTCTCTAGAGTGCTGAAAAGCAATGATGTTAGTATAGATACAAAGGTACACCTAACCCAGGCCATGGTCTTCTCAACTACTTGTTATGCTTCAGAGAGTTGGACAATGACTAAGGATGACAGAAGAAGAATAGATGCCATCAAGTTGTGGTGCTGGAGAAGAGTCTTGAACATGGACTGCCAAGAAAACGAATAGGTCTATCTTGGAGAGGGTAAAACCAAGTCTCTTCTTGGAGGCTAGGATTTTGAAGCTTTGCCTTACTTACTTTGGGCACGTGGCCCAAAGAGATTAATCCCTGGAGAAGGACATCATGCTCCGAAGGGCAGACGGGTGGCACAGGGGAGGAAGGCCCCAGATGTGATGGATTGATACAGCAACTGGGGTAATGAGGATTGGTGTGTCAGAATTAATGAGATTGGCTCAGGACAGGGAAGGGTTAGAGCTGCTGTACATAGGGCTGTTCTACATTGCAGATGACTTAATGGCACATCACAACAATAGTATACTATGACAGATTTAGAAGATCCACTTCCTAAACCACATGCCTCTGGAAACCCTATGAACTTTGATAAATGTCAAAAGTTGTTGAGGGGCTTTAGGCCTTTTGTTCATAGGGTCATTCTTGACTCAAAGGTAATCAACAACAACAACAACCATATAAATAAGAACCAATGGTAATGAAGAAAGAAATTCAAGCTGCACTAAAGGTGTCGGCAAAAAACAAGGCTGCAGGAATCGGCATAATACCAACTGACACATTTCAACTAACAGATGCAACCCTGGACATGCTCAACAGTCTATGTCAGGAAATTTGGCAAACAGCTGCCTGGCCAGCTAATTGGAAAAAACCCATTCCTAAGGAAGGTGATTTCCCAGAATGTCAAAATTATAAAACTATATGACTAATATCACATATAAGCAAAATCCTGCTGAAGACTACCCCAAAACTACTGGAATAGTATACTGACAGAGAACTATCAGAAATACAAGGCCAGTTTACCAGGGACTATGGCACTAGAGACATTGTCATCAATAATGACAGATGGCTCTTGGCTGAAAGCAAAGAGTACCAGATGGATGTCTATCTGTGTTTCATTGACTATGCAGAGGTGTTTCCTTAGAAGAGAGCAAGAAAACAGTGTATGGTTCAAAATCAGGGAAGGAGTGTCTCAGGGATGCATTCTGTCTCCATACATTTTCAATCTGTATGTGGCAATGATTATTTGGGAGACAGAACTGTATGAAGAGGAATGTAGGTAACATCAGGATTGGAAGGAGACTCATCAACAACCTATGCTATGCACATAACACAACCTTGCTTGCTGAAACTGAGGAGGACCTGAAGCTCTTGCACCAGAAGGTCAAGGACTCTAGTCTTCAATATGGATTGAATCTCAGTATCAATAAGACAGATTCTCACCTCTAGGCCAAATGGTAGCACCATGATAAATGGAGAAGAGATTGAGGTTGTTAACAATTTCAGCTTGCTAGACTCCACAATCAACACTCTTGGCACTAGCAGTAAGGAAATCAAAAGACAAATTTCAATGGGGAAGTCTGTTGTCAGGGACCTCTCATTGCTAAAGAGCAATGCTGTCAATCCAGAGACTAAGGTGTGACCGATTCAGACTGTGGTCTTTTGAAATTACTTGCTATGCATGAGAGAGATGGACAAAGAATAAAGATGATGGAAGAAGAATTGATGCCCTTGACTTGTGGTGCTGGAAAAGAGTATTGACCATATCATGGATCATCAAGAGAACAAACAGGTCTGTCATAGAGAGGTAAAGCCAAGTTTCTCCTTAGAAACGAGGATTTGAAGCTCCATCTTACATATTTTGAGTTCATGGCCAGGATGGACCAGTCCTTGGAGAAGAACATCATGCTCAGAAAGGTGGAGGGACAATGCAGGAGTGGAAGATCCCACTTGAGATGATTTGACACAGTAACTGGGATCATTGTGGTAGGTGTGTCAGAGTTGGTGAGACTGACTCAGGATAAGGCATAGTTCAGAGCTACTGTACATAGGATTGCTGTGAGTCACAGTCAACTTGATGGCACATAACAAAAACATCATCATTGATATCACATGCAATCAAAATCTTCCTGAAAATCATTCAAAAATGGCTAGAATAGCACATTGGCAGAGAACTGCCAGAAGTTCAAGCTGGATTTAGAAGAAACCATAGCACCAGGGATATCATTGTTGATGTCAGATGGATCCTGGCTGAAAGTAAAGAATATCGGAAGAATGTCTATTTGTGTTTTATTGACTATGCACAGGCATTTGACTGTGTGGGGTCATAAACAACTATGGGTAACATTGAGAAGAAGGAGAACCTCAGAACATATAATTGTGCTCGTGAGAAATCTACACTAAGAGGCTATTGTCCAAACAAAGTAAGGGAATGCTGCCTGGCTTAAAATCAGGAAAGGTGTATGTCAACGTTGTATCTGTTGTCCATGTCTATTTAATCTGCATGCTGAGAAAATAATTTGAAAAACTGAACTCTGTGAAGAAGAATGTGGCATCAGGATCGGAGAAGGACTCAAAAACAGCTTTGCTTGCTGAAAGTGTGAACTTAGTGCTAAGAATCAAAGACTATAGCCTTCAATATGGGTTGCATTTCAACATCAAGAAGACAAAAATTCTCACCACTGGACTGATGGGCAACATCCTAATAGAAGAAAAAAAATTGTCAACTATTTCATCTTACTCGGATCTACAATCAATACTCTTGGTACCAGCAGTCAGGAGATTGGGAGACATTTTTCACTGGGAAAGTCTGCTGTCAGGGACATCTCCAAACTCCTTAAGCACAGTGATGGCAGTTTGAAGACAAAGGTGCCCCTGATTCATGCCGTGATCTTTTCAATCACTTATTATGCATTTGAGAGATGGACAATGAATAAGGATGACAGAAAAATAACTAATGCCTTTGAACTGCAGTATTGGGGAAAAGCACTGAATATTCCATTGGATTGCCAAATAAAGAGATATGCCTTGAAAAAAGTACAACCAGAGTGCTCCTTAAAGGCAAGGACAGTATAACTTTATCTCACATACTTTTATCATGTTGCTCAGGGAGGTTATTCTTTGGAAAGGGTTATCATATTTGTAAAGGTGGAGGACAAGCAAAAGAGAGTAACACCCTTGATGAGATAGTTTAAAACAATGAGCTCAAGATGATGAGGATGGCACAAGATAGGCCAGGGTACAGATCTGTCATTGATAGGGTCACTATGAGTTATATTCGATTCAATGGCACAACAAACAACGAGGTCAGGCTACAAATGAAATTCTCTCATCACATAATAAAGATGATCCATCCTTGTGATGTTTATTCTAAAAAAGTAGAATCATGTCATGTATTTCCAAAACATAAATAATAAAACTAGTCGGCAGCTGAAGACATGCAATCCTCCTAAAGTGGGTCATAATTCTACTTGGGATAATTTGATAACTAAGTTTCCTAAACTTAACCTATTAGACAGTATTGCTGTAGCTCCAGTGGTATAGCAAGGGAGCTCTGGTTGCTTAGGGGTAAGGTCATCCCAGAGGTGCAGGGTTTGAATCCACCAGCTGCTCCATGGAAGAATGATGATCAGTCTCTTCCCATGTGATTTACAGCCTCTGAATACCTGCTGGAGGGTTAGCTCTGACTCAGTTACTACTTGATGACAATGAGGGTTTTGCTTTTTTTAGTTTTTTGATCTCTGGGATGGACTCTAATTGCCACATTGCCTGTGATAATTGTATGGATTACAAGTAATAGTGAATTACCAGAATCTTCAGGAACAATCCCCTGGGTTAGGAGAGCTGACCGCACACTTCTAAAATTTAACAAATGTATTCCACTACAAGGAATACAGGCCAAGGAAATGATAACTGAGACACAAAG